TAAATTGAAAATGCAATTAATCGTATACTGAGACAATATTGTTATTTTGCTAACAAAATTACATTATCTTTTGATAGAATTCGTCATCCTATGCTACTACATTGTCATTCGGCGTATTATAATACTATCATGAAAGTGTAAGTAATACAGAATAATAAAAATACGACAACTTGAGAAAGTTACAAAATCCTAAAACAAATTAAATCTTCATCTGGGATTTCAGAAATTTCCTTTTATACATTACCGAATTATATTTAAATTTCCAAACGTTTTGCGAAATAAAAGCCAAAAAATCGACAGCACGCAAGTAATCCGGAGCCTGGTAGAACGTGATTCTGCGCCTGAATTTCCTGACGTCACAACGCACTAACTAAGGATTGGTTAACACTTTGGCAATAATTTTACAATCAGCTACAATAAACTGCGAAGGCAAATTTAATTGTTTTTAACAAAAATTTCATTCAAGGTACATGCACGAATTATAAGTTATCACAAGCACATATAGGAACTTAGTGTTTTTTTTAATAAGGGGACACATAAAGTTTACCCTTAGACTGGATACTTTGACAATTTTAAAAGTAAGCGCGCAGATGTATAGATCGGCAAGTAGACTATTCAGATACGCAGGACAAAACTCATTCACGACACCTGTGTTTTCTATATCCTTGCGCGCGGGAGTATTGATCCAACAATACTTAACAAATGATGGCACACCTTAACCGCACCCATATTTCTATCAATTTTGTCCTGACATTTGATTTGTATTTATTTTCCCCAAATCTTTCGTAAAAATGATCCATTAAAGTGACATGAAGTTCCTTTTCTATTTGTTTAAGTAATCCTTTTCGAGATAAAAAAGTTTTTGATGTTAAAAGTGAGGGCAGATAAAATAAATAAGCCTAATGTAATAATTTCATGATAATACTTCTTGCATACCTGTGTATATATATGTATATATATATATGTCAATATCAAATAAAATTGACAGATGAGATTTGTTTAATTTCAATAGTCAAAAAAATTAATTTATTGATTAAAACAGGTACAAATTCACGTACAAATGCGCACTAATTACATGTTTATATGCATATATGTCATTATCTAGGGACCTAATTTCGATTTGAAAGAATACTCTGAAGTATTTTTGATATGTTGTTACAGTATCGAGTTTAAGATGCTAATTTAACTCCTGTTCAAGACTGAATAAAAAACAATTTTTTAAACTTTCTTTCATACTACCACCTGAAAAAATAGGCTTACGTCAGCTTCTCCAGAGTTTACGTAGTGTTTGATATGTGTTTTTTACCGTATTATTGTGTAAACGTAAAAAATTTCATCCCTTCCGCAAAAGTTTAATCTAACCAAGGAAAAATGTCTTTTATAATAAAAAATATGCCAACTAATGAAATAAACAATAAAAACAGAGAACATTTTTTTTCTTTAGAAATGAAAGAAGACTATAGCTTTAAGGTATTTACACACACGCACGCGCGCACACACACAGAGATAATGATTAAATATGCAAACACAATTGAAATAAAATATTTCTTGTTATAGTATATACCTGAAAGTCATTTTAAATGTATAGTAAAAAATGTACAAAGACAAAGACGCAAGGAGGATGAGGACCGAATCTGGTCTTCATTTGTTAAAGAACAGGAGTTAAATAGTCTAAGATATCACAAAAATATCATAAAAGATACTGACCAGTCTATAAAGAGTATGAAAGATCTCTTGCAAGAAAATATACAAGATGTAGATAGAGAACTGAAAAGACTCGAGGAAGATGCCCTCCCTGAACAAACCAAAGGAATTCAAAATGATAAATCTAATATTAAGAATGAGAAAATTTATGTAAATGTAAGTATACTTACATTTTGGATTTGATTATATGTATTGTTCTAAGAAAAATTGTGTTTGTATGTATTAATTTATTTATATTAGGCAAACAGCATTAGAAGCAATTTTTCAAAGGATAAGTTGTTAACAAAGAATAAAGATACATCTAGTATTAATGCTTTAGATCCAATTTCTCAAGACAATAATATTTCTATACATAAAAAATCTGAAGGACTGAAAACAGTTTTTAGATCCAAGGCTAAAAAATCTTTATCAGATTCTTTGATTACAGAGAAAAAGTGTTACACAAATCAGCTTCTTCATGCAACTGATTACTTTGAGAATAATTCTAGTACAGGCTCAAGTAATTACAGATATGACATTGTTAATGTCCAACCAGATCCACTTACAATACAAAAACTTCTATCAATGCAAAAGAAAATTGCTGAATTATTAGATGAAATTTCATTTAGATTATGCAGAATTCCTTTACCAGATGGTGATAATGATTTGAAAAGAAGACAACAACAAACATTAGAGTTTGCTATAAGATTTTCAAGAAATTATCTATACAATCTTAACAGACTTGTGGCAAGTATTCGAAGACACATCAGTACTGTGTCCTCCAGAACAGGATCAAAACAGTATTATAAAAATATTGCATTTCATCAAGATATGATTAAACAAAAGCTAATTTCTGCTCATCAATTACTAATACAAGCTTTAAGTGCTTATTATAAACACATTCCTAACTCTATTCTTGATGGTCATTCTACAAAACTTCAGGATGTGTTACAAATTGTCTGCAATCTCAAAAATATTTGTGATAAAGTTGGTATTTCTAATAATTATTTATGTTCAGGAGATAATACGGTTATACCATTGGTAATATGTGTACAAAAGTTGTATTGTTAATATATACTAATTTCATAAATTATTAAAATTTAATATACAATTTTTTCCCGTAGGGATGCATTCTTCAAGATAAATGTGATGCAATCTTGTCTATGTTAAAATTAAACTTGGAAAGCAAACATAGAAGTACAAATTACAAGAATGTTGAATCTACAGTGACTATTGCACCAATACCTTTACATCACAAAGGACGTTCCAAACGAAAAAATTTATCTACTCGATTAAGCATGTATAGTATGGATGTTAAAGTATCAAAGAGTAACCAAAAGAAAAGGAATGATTTAAGAAGAAAAAGTATACGAAATCTATCTAAGGTTTTACATTATTTGGTATACATTATTTTAAATATATTATAAGTTTAAGCATATATTTTTCAGGCTACATTTGCAAGAAAGAAAGTGAGAATATTATCAAAGATATTAAGAATATTCACACTCAACATTATTCATTACCAGAGTTACTGTATCCCAGTCCTATAACACGTACATCATCTTCTAGGGACGTCACAAAGATTGATTCGATGAAAGATATGAATTACTCAAAAGAAGACGATGTTAGAACTATGATGGATGGAGTAACAATAGATTCTGAAAATGTAAGACATATTTAGAATACATTATTTACCATTCTAAAAAGGGTCTCAGAAACAAATGATTTCATAAAATAGGATAGTAATGTAAAAATTAAAATCAAATGTAAAAATGCAACAAATCCAGAACAGTCTTTTACAATACAAAACAAAACATCTACAAATGTGTGGAAAACGAAAAATGTAGAAGATAAAAGGGTAAACCTTAAATCAGAAAAAGTTTCTGACGGGGATAATTTAATTAAAACAGTAGCTATAATTACCAAAGAACATTTGGCTAGTCTGACTCCCGTGATAAACAATTTAATGGCTCTTGTGTCGAAAAAGGTAAAATTAACCATAATGTAACATATATGTAATATATGTATGCAATGAAATTTAACATTTCAATAATATTCATTATTACGAATTTTCTGATAGCAAAATGAACTAGATGTGCAACTTGGATCAGAAACATCTATGGAAACATTAAGAGAATTTTTACAAAAATATTCGTTTCCCAGAGATTCTAATATTAAAGCATCCTTGGCAAATGATAATTATGAACAATCAAATTATACATTAAATAGGTAAATAGAATACAATAAAAGTACGTTTTCATACTAAATATAATAAAACTGAACGTTTTATGCATTATGATAGCGTATCTGATGTTCAAAAACGTGGTGAAAATGTACAATTGATTTGCATGTCTTCTATGGAAAAAGCTTCTAAGATGACACAATGTGATGTTTCATGTCAGGCAGATTACCACATCCCGCTAAAAGTAAGTATAAAACATGCTATATTTAATTGGTTTATATATTTTTATGATAAATTTCTAGACTAGTGACTACAGAAAAACTATGGATTTATATACGAAAGATGGAGTGCAGCTTGTTGTTCCAAAAGAAACTGAGCGACATTTTGTCGCATATAAATGTGAATATAAAAAATTATGCCAGTCAAAGCCAATGTATTCCAGTAGTACTCAGAATAAACCATGGGATATTGTGGCATGGTAAGAATATTAAATGATGCTTTTTACTCAAATATTATTAAACAATGCAAATATTTTTAAACAGGATCTCTGATAAATTGATAGATGAATTAATAATTGAAATAACAGTCGAGTTACAAATGAACGACGTAATTAAAAAACTATTTGAGATGGAATTTCAAGAATTTTAGAAACAACGTTTGTTTGTATGGAATTAAAAGAAGAAATATAATCATACTTATAAAGCAAGCAATTTTTCAAATGTTTTTTATTCAAAGTACAATTTTTTAAATAAATTATTACTTTGTATACTGATGTGTAATATATTTCTGCGTTATAATTTTACTCGTGAAAAAATTTACTCCTCTAATATTTTCAATAAAATAATCGAATTAGCGAATAGATATCGATGTATATAATACGTAAAATAGTCGTAGAAATCTAACAATATCAATTACAAATATATTTTTTATTGACACTAAAAAAGTGTAATCACACTGGCTAACATAATTACGTATATATGGTGGGATATTTACAAGAAACAATTTTACTAAATGATTTATTAGTATATGTATTAGTAATGTCATGCAATGGTAGTAATGAGAGGTTAGAGGTTAGATTTTTCTCAACAATTTGCGTAGATAAAAACGATTCAATTTAATGAACAGATTGTAGAAAAATATTTTGGCTTTAAGTTAAAAGTATAAAATGAGACAAAAGGTTTTGAAATTATACAAAGATTTACTGCGCTATGGTGAAAATTTAAAATATACAGATAAAGAATATTTCCAACAGAGAATACGTAAAAGTTTTAAACAAAATAGACATTTAATTAGTGAAACGGAAATTAATTTTCATTTACAGGTAAAATAACCCGAAATGTAGTCGAATTCGTTGTTTCTAAATATTTTTAAATGAAGTATAACCTATCTTATTATAACCTAAAAGTAATTTTATTTATTTGTGTAATTTTTTTCAGAAAGGACAAAAACTTCTAGAAAACCACCGAGTGATATAAATATATAGTTGATTATACTGAAATTAAGTAGATGTACTGAATTGTATGATGTCTATAGCAGTACTAAGTAGAAAATATTTCAACCAATTCTGTATTGCTTATGTATGTTCATTAACTGCTAAAAAAATGTACGGACTTTCATGCTACAAAACTTTTAACAATTGGTATAATACATTAAGCAATGACTTGAATCAAGTTCGATGTAAGTCCTATAATCGTTTTTTGGACTATTCGAAGATACCTAAACTTCAAGAAGATGATTTGGAAGAACAATATATAAGAGGATCTGGACCCGGTGGCCAAGCAACTAATAAAACAAGCAATGCAGTACTTCTAAAGCATAAACCTACAGGATTAGTTGTAAAATGTCATGAAACTAGAAGTTTATTTCATAACAGAAAAATTGCCAGGGAGATTCTATTAAAGAAACTAGATAATCTAATAAATGGCAAGGATTCCCTTGAAAGTCAAGAGGAGCATTTACTTAAAAGAGATTTGATTAAGAAGAAACAAAAGAGAAAGAAATTAGCAGATTTGAAGAAATCGTTTGAGGAACGTGAAAACTTAAACAAATAATGGAATATGCAAAATGAATTATTTTGAAAATTTATAAGGCCGGGTGGTACTATATATTGGCATTATATATTGTTTCATAAAACTAAAATAAGATGTAATAGTATCAGTTACTACCACTTCTATCCTGTATGTTATAAATTACAGCAGAATAATCGATAGTAGACAGAAAAAAAAGTATAAAAAAGGGAGCTTAGCTTGGGAATTTGTAGAATCTCATTTTCACTTTTAATGGAAAATTCATATCTTTAATAGTCATCTCTTTTTGAAATCACGAAAGGCTTACATTATTTTTCTTTGAAATAAAATATTTAGGTGGACCCTCGCAAGGGAATTCAATATATAATGTTACATTGAATGATGCATTTGTAACAAAAAATGATTGATCAGTACGCTACAATAAAGCTTGTATCCAGCCTTGCGCACTCTAAAGCCTGCTTTTACGAATGAAAATAACTTCTTTCACATGTGTACGTTCTCTTACTCGTATACCGAGATAAGTAAGATCAAAGAAAGTACTTCGTGTAAACGCAGATATACATACATACGGCAACTTTCTTCTTCAAGAACGCAGACTGCAGCTAAACGTAAATGTACAATGTTCTCTTCATAGAACTCTTATCGGCAAAAGACATTAAGGAAAATATTAATAAAACCCCAGCAGTGGTGCCAATAGTGTTAAATACTATTCTACATACACAAATAATATTTTATACATAATGTACATTTTGATAAAAGATATAGGTTAAATTTCAACAGCGAGATCTCGCAAAAAAATGTATCTCGATTTTGAAAGTTAAACTATAACGAGAATCTTATCGGGGATTTCAGCTACTTTTTAGCCACCTTCCGAATTGACCACGGTTGGTCTTTAATCGCTTTTTCGGTGGCTGAACATTCGATCTTGGGGAACTGGAACTTCTTAACCGTCTATTACTTGCGATTGTTACCGAGAGAATACTGTGGTCCATTTCAACTTGATCATCAATTTTCTTCATTCTAACAACTGGTTGAAACTCGACACTCGAGCGTCTTTGTTCGAGTTCCGAAGTTGCTATGATCGTGGGGCTAACACGTCCCGATAACGCACAGTCAACTTCAGGATTCTGTGTTTCCGATGACACAGCATCCGCGCGTCGTTTCACACTTTTTAGGTTTTGTTGCTTTTTACACGTAATACTTAAATAGGAATCCTTTTTACAATTCTCATCCTCAAACACTGTGTCCGATGAGATGTTAGTTTTTCGCACACGTTTTCTCGAGTATATCCGTCTTCGCGATGACACTCTGCTCCTTTTATACACGTTATTGTGATGGTGGTGATGATGATGATGTTCGATCTCGGAGTCAGGATTTCCGGAGTGGCTCTTTTGCTGCCGCTTCCTTGGTAATCCATTAGAGTTATGTTTCCTGGGAACAATTCCAGTTTCAGTATCCTTTCTACACAAAATCTCATGATTCTCCAGTTCTACTACACGAGACTCGCAAGTTTCGGAGGATGTATTGTCGCGTTGACGTTTCTTGATAGTCGCTTTTGAGATAAATCGTCGTTCTGATATAGAATGAATATCTTTCCGAAACACGTTCTCATGATTTTCATCGTTTCCAGGGTCGTTTTCCGATACTTCCTCGATTTCCGACAAGCCTTTCCCAAACGCGTAATCTTTATTTAATACGAAATTCCTGTCAGTCTCGTTGCATATGTCAGGTGTAAGTGGATCAGTACAGGATTCGGCATTTATATGTAACACGGAATTACTCAGAATTTCTATATTTACATCGCTCTTTTCGTTTTCATCGTGATGCGCATTAGAAGAAATATTCGAGGTATACATTTCGGACAAACGTCCGTCGTCTTTCCTCTGGTTGAAACCTAACGACGGCTGTTCGTCTTGCGTGATACTTGTAACGGATGTCGCTAGTCTAATGCTACCGCCTTCTTCCGTTAATCTGACGGGTGGTGTAGTATTCATGACCTGCATGTTGCAATTTTTCTCGGTCCGAGATGCTTCGAGATTTTTCTCTAACAAGTTTTCCCTGTCGCAGTCTACATCTAAAGGTTTGCTCTGAAGTCTCTTCTTCAGTTTAATCCCAGGCCATCCGGTTCTGTTTTTCCTCTTTTTCCTACGTTTCAAGGGTGACTCAATATTGCCCTCGCCACACTCTGAACTTGCGCACGACGAATTTTCTAAACAGTTTGCGATCTCGTGACAACTGTCCAACAATTCAAGCAGGTTCGGAGGTGCTCCCTTTGGAATAGCCGCCGGTTCGTAGACATTCAATTCCATTTGCGTAGTATCTGGCTCGAACGAGTCACCCAAATCTAAACTGTCGTTAGGATTATTCAGCATCTCATCGATTGTTTTCACCATGTCTTTTAAGTCTTCGTCCACGTCCGATTTTGATTCAGACTTTTGATCAGGTTTCGGAGTATTTGCCTGTGACCTAACGGATTGACATTCCTCTATCGTATACAGATTCGATGATTGTTGTTGTTGTTGTTCTCTCTTTCGAATGATCGTCGACATTATGGCTAATGTTGAAGCATGGCAACGAGGACTTTTCCTCGGAGATCGTCCAATACAACCTGCGCTTCGACCACGACCTTTTCTCTTACTTTCAGTTCTGTTTTGGTTTTTCATTAGATTCTCGTGGAAATTATCGATTTCGTATGGTAAAAGAAATGGCTTTTGTGAGTTCTCTTCGCTAAAATAGTGCCAAAATTCTGCTCCCTCGTCTTGCCGCTGGTACGTTTGATACCATGGTTCAGATTTCGGTACAGCTTCAAAAGAAAATTGCATTTTTTCAACCTCTGCTGAAGGTTTGGACGGATACACCTTCTCCACGTCTACTTTTTTCTCCACAGATTCTTCTTCTGTTCTTACCCGTTGTTCAATCATCGATACCGGTTCTTTGATACCAGTCAAGGGTGCTTGATACCTTAATCTGCTACCCGGAGTTTCGAATTTATAATAGTCAACGTTGTCTTTGATCAGCGCTTCTGCTTGTGTGCGTCTTCTTTTCCTAGCTCTACCCAAGTTCAGAGAATCCTGTGAATCTTCTTCGACAGGTTCTGACTTTACGGGTGAACTGCAATTAAAGAACGAGCTGGGACACCCAGAGTTCGCTGTATCGTTATATTCGCTTTCCGTGTCCCTTGGTAATACACTACTTTGTTCTCCATCGCTTATTTCGCTCGAATCTTCTCGCTTCAGTTCTCCAAACATAAAAGACTCGGCTTCGTCGCTTAATAATGACAATTCTGATTTTCTTACACGCTTAAATCGCACAACTACTGGTTTTTCACTAGATGGCACATCTTTTTTTTCTTCACCGTCCCCATCTCTTTGCACTATACATTGGGAATTATTGTTTGATAACACACTTGATCTTAATTTACTCCCTAGCACTTCCACCTTATAATATGCACGATTATCTTCGATTAAACGTTCTTCAACGGACAACCGGTGCCGTCCTCTGACGCTCCTACTGCCTCTTCTACCCGACTTGGAATATTTCGGTTTATCTTCTTTCGCCACTTCGTTCTTTTCTCTATCACTTACTTTTTGTTCTTCATCCTTTGTAGCACGACCATTACAGATGGTGTCTGCATTAGTATCATCGCGTTCTTCTGAAACTTTTTTTGTACTTGATGGAGTATTCTGTAAGTGTAATTTGCAATTTAATTCTTTTAAAGTTTCACTTCGAGATATCTTACAGGACTCGATACAACTGTTATTTGTACTTAAAAGGTTTTCATTACAACCATTTTTCAGATTTCCGTTCATTTGATCATGACTTCTATTCTTCATAAGACTTCGATCTTCTTTAGTATGTTCTGTATTAATCACGATACTGTTATCCTCGCTATTACAAGTTATTGTCCTTTGTATATCTTGATTACTAGATTCTTTACGTTTATTACATACAATGTCACAATTTTTATCATCGCAGCATTTTTCTTCCAATTCCGTCGAGAATGTTTTAATTTTGTATTCATTCTGCTTCTCTTTTAATCCATGTTCTTTTACAAACTTATCTCCTGGTTCATCTTCTTCGATCCAAATTGTTCCTTTTGCTCGCCTTTTTATGGTAAAACCTTCGAATTTCTCATAAAACTTTTCCGCTTTATCAGCTTCGTGCCAGGGACTTCCCTTCGACCTCAACAAGTGTCCGCTTTCATGTTTTGCACGTGTGCGTAAATTATGTGGTGAGTTTAGTTTTAAATTGAGATTCCTACGTGCACCGTTACACTGCACCATCTTTTCATCTCCGACGCCAAAATCACCTAAGTTCTTTGCATTTCTATTAACCTTCCCTTCTGACAGTACTGAGTTATGAAGATTGCGATCTCCATTGGAAAATAAATTGCAGTCTTTTCTGTAACAATAAAAACACTTATTAAACAATATTTAATAGTTTACATAAAGAAACAATATGTTTATCAATATATAAAATTTTACATACTCTATATCTTTTGCTCTGTTTAGCTTTAGAAACGCTTCTACATTGGCTCCTGCATTAATCAATGTATCCAAAGACAAAAAGTTATCGTCATTGCGAACAAAGCTAAGATGTTGGTCGCTTTGTACATGTTTGGTAAGATCTCGATAACTAATACGACAAATTTCGCAATAACCGGATGCTAACTGTTCTGTTCTTCGTGTACGGGCAGTTGTTCGTGGCCGCCGAGTCATTTCTTTATCCTGTTCATATTCAATATAGTATTATGTGTTTGACATTAAGTTTTATACAATATGAACTGTTTTGTATGATGTTACCTCCTCTTGGTTGATAATTTGGATACCTTCCCTGTTTTCTTTTACTTCTTTTCGTACTTTTTCCAGTTTTTCTCGTCTTCTCGTATTGAAAGGACAAGATCCTGGATCTCCGTGAAAATTCAACGTCGGCCACAAAGACAGCTCAACAAATACAGGTCTAGTATTCCTGTGTTGACATATGATTGCAGAGTAGAACAATTATTAATGTGTATAATTATAGAGATCTCAAGTTAAACACAACATACCTCTGAAAGGATTCGAATTTCAGATAAGGACTCTTAAGGTGTCTGACCTTCAAATCTTTAGGTAAACTCTGCTGATTTGAATGCCGTAATTGCTTTAAATTATTAGTATCCTTAAAAGATGCGTAGATTTTGTCAAGCCAAGCTTGAAGTTTATCAATTGCCCAAATAGGAATTCCCCAACTTTGGGCGTTGTAAAGTGGATCCACGGAACACTGTTGTGGCTGTATCAGAGCACGCTCCAACATTGCCTCCACCCGCGATTTCTATAATATTATTTGTAAAAAATGTGACTGTGCCATGCATAAGAGATACAATGATAAATGTTACTTCTATGTACTTACAGATCTTTGGGTAGTTTGACCCCGTAGATTCGTTGTATTAGTTAAGGGGCATTCAGGACTAAAAAATGACGTTGGAGGAGTTGGCATGGGGGCTGGAGTTTCTAAACTCCTCAGCGAGGGAGGTCCCCCACTGCCTCCACTGGCACAACCCCATTTATGTTTCTCAAAATTTATGTAACCAGTTTTATCTACTCTGTCACTAACCACTAGGTTTACACTCCTTACTAAAAACAATTCTATTACCTAAAACAAATTAAAAGCAAAGACTTATTAGAAATTACTCAGATTATAGGTCAATTACAAATATGATAAGAGGAAGCTACGAGAAATACATGGGAAAGGTACATTCTTGTCCTAATAAGATGAAATATATGTAAATAGAGAGAGAGAGAGAGAGAGAGAGAGAGAGAGAGAGAGAGAGAGAGAAGGAAGAATAGAATTGAAAAAATAAAAGACACGTGAAGAATAAAGTAGAAAAGCTTGCTGATCGTCTAACGATTTAACTCACGGAAAAAAAATTAGAGGCTGCATCAAAAAAATACGTAGAGTGTAGACACCCGGTGATAAGTAACCCGTTGACGAACGTACGAACACAAATTTACATCGCGGTATGCTGACGTCAAACGATTTTGTGTTCTTCTCAAGCGCAACTAAGTGCACTATCAAGTGAATTCACAGAAGTGCGAGCCATGCGTGTATAGATGAAAATCTTCATGTACTTAACAATGGTTGCCGCATTGTTACACACCGTTCTAATTGTACGTCACTGATCACACAGTCAGGACAATAATGAAGCACGTGGGATCAAACGAAAGGAATAATTCAATGTGTTTTTATCAAAAAGGCAACGGAAAAAGAATTTCTCAAAGCAAATCCGTAGATATGAAAACAAGCAGTGCGTTTACACTCGATTACTGTCAAGTGGTCTTGAAACGTATGAAACCTTCACACAAAACAACTTTCTTGAACAGCACTGTTTATCAGTTTGCAAATTTGCAAATACTTCAGAGTTAGCTTTGGAAACTATTTAAAACGCAATTTACGATAAAAGGTTCCAGGGAAGAAGTTGGTTGAGATATATCTCGAGCGATGAAACGAAAGGAAGGAGGCAAAGCAAAAGAGCGCTGGGACGCGCGATGAGATCGTTACTCGCGGGGGAGAACTGTCACGCACAAAATGGCCATTCGCCGTTAACAGCTTGGCAGACGAGCCTGGAGGCGGCGCTTTGCGTTCTTGCTCGCTTTCCGTCGGCGAATGCTGCGGCAAAGTGAATACGGTAGCTTCGCTAAATACGTGAAAACTGTTTTTCGCTGTAATTTCGCGTCCATATTTTTTGTTTTTTCAAACCACAACACAACAGTTGAAAGCGACGAATCTGCCCCACTTCGTCGTACTTCTAAGGCTATCCTAAAGATGGCGCGACACGACCCGGTTTTTCAGCGGTTGTTTGTCAACAGAAATATTTCACGAGTGTCTACGTTAAAACTTTCAGATCGCACTGTATATTAAAGAATGCAATCGTTGTTGCATTCAGCATAAGAAACAACAGAGTTTTTTGTACAACTTATAATCTTAATTTCATTCTACCGCAATTTTCTTTGTTACTATTTCTTTCAATTCAGACTGTCTCAATCATTCTGTTGAATGTGAATCGAATAATTTTAAGTTTCGTGACATACTTGTCTGGAGAGGAAAATATTTTTTCGAAAAGTTACATTTAAGTTGCATACGCATAATTGCATAACAAGTTAACTCTAATAGGATATAGAAGTGGCAGCAGAAACGGCGGGAAACGAGGCAAAGGACAAAGGACGAAGGACAAAAGCACGAGCGAGAAAGCGAATGAATGCGACAGAAGTAGAGGGGGAATATATATGGAACATGAGTTACTGTAGGTACACTAAAACTATGCAATGAATCAACAACACAAGAAAATTAGAAATAAAAAGTAATGGTTTCACAACTATCACCTACGCGTAATTAAACACTTACTCCTCCCAAATCTTTTATTTTTGCTTCTATTTTGGATGTGGTAGCATGATTCTTGATATCCAAGTAAAATGACTTTCCTTTTAATGGTTTCAGATCTTTCTGCGTATGAACATCTGAAATGCCACAGAAATTGTCACTTTTTCTATACTTTGATAAAGTGAAAGATGCAATTCTGATGACATTAATATGTAAATATCTATAATTCAATATATTTAGACCAAAGTATACAATATTATATGACAAGTAAAATGACACATTTTCTCAACAGATATAATCATGTACGTAATGTGCTATGCAATATGATCGTTTCACAAAAGCTATAAACTATTTACATTAGCGTACTCGGTGATACAAAAATTTTTGTACAAATACCTGTTTTGCTGTACATACATCATATATACATACATATGTATAGCTAGTTACACGCGCGCGCACGGGTGTGTATGTGTGTGTATGTGTGTGTATGTGTGTGTCAAAAAAGAACTATTCATAAGAGTTCCAATATCTTAGTTATCGATCATGCGTTTTGATAAAAATACATATGTGTACATATGCTAATGTACATACGTGACTGCTTCTTTAATTTATTTTCTCTTGGTGGCTGCTTGTGCTCCTGATGCTGAATTTTGGACGGCGATACCATTCCTATGCTATACACCACACGGACAACAACGATATTTTCCTTTCACTGTACTTTAATACTTTTAAAACACTTTCCATTCTCACAAACGTGCCACGTATTGTCATAGATACTTCTTTGCATATTCATTAACAATATGCGTTTATTTACAAAATGATGATTAACCAGGCACAATTTACGTAAATTTCATTTTAGGGACAAGACATCCAAATCGTCCATATCGTTTCGAATGTCTTCATGAACTGAAGTTATGCGCACTAGGTGGCTATTTGAAATATATACCGAACATACGTGCAAGGTTAACCAATGTGAAAAAATTCCCTGGACTTATAGGACTGTTATGCTATCGCGTGAACATAGCTTTAATCACCCGTCATGCATGCTCGTGAATATAACTTTAGGGTGGGCTTAATCTAGAGAGATCGATGCGCACAGCTGGAGCGCAATTTGAATTGTCAATAATGTATGTCTCAAAAAGATAGATTGTATCTGGAAATCTGAAAGTTAGAATTCGGGAACGGAAATGCTTTATTATTGTAGTCGAAAGATTTTATTCAAGAACCGTAACCACTTGAGAGTTAAGTTTAAGCCACGTAGGCTTTCTCGGCAGGATGTTTATTTCGGGACTCAGAAATGTACGCTCTTCGTTCTGTATTATATCTCAACGATATCCAGCCGTGTCAACTAGCTAGAACACTAAGAGGGCCATAAATATTGTCAAGGGCTAATTTTCGCGCGAATCGCTACGTGCACACTTTCCCTTGCACGTGCATATCACGTTGGCGGTTATATCAGCGTTGCGTTTCCACCACTACCAACGATGCGCTGCCACTACTATCCACTAACGAAGGATCGGGGGTGGAGTACGTGTAGGAGAAGAAGCGCCGATCTATGGGGTGGAAACTGTCTTTCGACTGGACCACCAAAATCTGGAAGGAGGACCAGGGGAGGATCCAGATTTTGGGAGAAGAACAAGAAGAGAGACCTCGCGTCCAAAAAGTTTCAAAATGTCATTCATTCCAATTCTGTATCTCGAGTCTTCAAGCTTCGTTAATCTTAAAAGGTCTTGAACAGTTGTGAAATATAAAAGTACTAGTTGCAACGAAAAATCTTCCAAGTTTTATTTGAATATTCCCGCACCACAGCGAGCAAAGCGCCTCAGCGTTCCACGGGCACCAACCCACTATCCCTTTTCCCGTGTATACCGCAAAATACGCAACAGGACAATACAAGAAAAATATATGGAAAAATGATTATATCTGATTATATTGAAGAAAATAATTACTAAATGACTGCAGTAATCATAATTTATTAGCTCGCTCATCATATATCATACCATTGTGTTAAAATAAAACTTTCGGTTCTTTTTTATTTCGGGTATCTGTAATAATCGTAATGGAAATACAATATGAAATATATAGATGGTTACATTGGTTAGTAAATTATGCGATGGCAAATGTTTAATTTTTATACTGAAATGCGTGTAAAAGATACAATTAATGCGGATCAGATTTTTATGTTTCGAGACAATTATAGGATGTATTGTTTGTTAAATGCCCGTAGCTTTCTCTTTCACAGATGTTTTCACTTGACATTGAAAGCCAAAAGTCAGATTGTTTAATATATCGAAAAGATCGATAGAAATTTATAAAGATTTTAAATGATCCTTATAAACAATAAGATTGTATACGTGATAAAATTTTTTTAATTTCAAAGTTCAAGTTATAGTTGTTTTTATTAATTACAATTTCAGTTCACATTTATTATACGTTGTCCATCTTAATATGAATGCTTAGGGTCATTTAATTAAAGATTTGGCTTTGTATTCTTTTTGAGTTTTATGAAATATTGTGTAATTGCAATGGTTTAAACGACTTACATAGTAGTAAAATTGGAATTCGCAAAATAGCAGCAACATTTTGCATTGAATATTACTGTATTATTTGTATAGAAGGTTTCTTTATTATTTCATGTAGGATTAGTAAAACAATGATAAAATTGATAAAAGTTTTCAGTATGATTTAAGTTATGATAAAAGATCCAAAACAGTTGAGAAACACTGTAGATTGTGGTAAGCGGTAGGAGGTGTATACATTGAAACACACTTGTCAGCGGTCGGTCGTGAAAGCGATTGTTGGCGGGGTGGATTGTTGTGATGATCTGCTTGATTACACGTGTACAATGTTCAATTTTTTACGATGTCTGGTTTTCGGAATGCTCCTTAGCATCGCGAATACCAACACCGCTCAACCATGGTACCAAACCTTACCCGCGGTGGCCTTAGATTATAAAGTTCATATCGATGCCGGAAAAGAAGATTGTTACTTTCAATATGTTAATGCTGGCGCTACTTTCTACGTAAATTTCCAGGTATGTAATTACATTTCACACGATTATTCATTGCAAATATTGTTTTTTGACGTACCTGTATGGATTAACGACTAAAACAATCCGAGAAAATTCTGGAATATTTTTCCTAAATATTTAAATATAATCGGACGGTTAATTGAAATATTGAACCATATGGTTAAAAAAAGAAAAGAAAATTTTAAATGATATCTACGAATATATAGGTGGTGCGTGGTGGAGATGGGAAAGCTGGTTTTGTAGTAAGAAATCCGGAGGGATTAATAGTTCACATGTATCAGTGGCTCCCTAATTCGGATTATCAGGAAATTGTGAAAAATGCCGGTTACTATTGTATTTGTATAAACAATCAATTTTCTAGATTTGCCTCAAAATTAGTTAATTTATACATTACAGTAATCAGGTAATAAATGTATTTTAAAATTTATACAATGTCACAAAGTACCTATAACGTTAATTGTAAGTAATAATTGATTCTATGCATAGATACGATGAATGGAATAACTATTCGAGGGAATTGGAGGAACTAAATCTTTCTGTGGAAAACTTTACAGTATGTATCTTCTGCATATATATTTCATTGGATGATAACAAATTGTATGTCATTGGTTTTTTGTAGACTGCAATAATTAATGTGGAGAGAAACATCAATGAAATGCTCCAGACTCAGCATTTGAGTAGAAGTAAAGAAGCACGAGATTTGAATTTGTTATTGGATAATAATTTTTATGTTCAAACATGGTCTATTGCACAAATAATTGCAATAATGGTAACAACTACGATACAAGTGTATTTTGTGAGAAAATTATTTGAGGTGAAACCATCTAGATATTCTAGAGCACGTATATAAGTATGATTTAAATATATTGTGAAATATCATATGTGAAGCATCGCGAAATGCTTGGCGAAAAAATCTACGCTTTTGAATATTCGGTGGTAAAGAATGCGGACAAATTTACCGGACTTCCAATCTAAAAATGCAAGGTCCATACTTCTAAAAAATTATCCATTTTGCTTAGGTTTAAGTTCGCTGTATTCTTAATATTGGAATAATATTTTCTTCTCAGAGAAAGCTATAAAGCATACCTTGTAAGACTGTATCGTATAATGTATCATGCTCGCAGAAACGGAATCCATTCCACAAACTGATTAAGCTATTTAAATATTAATTTCATTCATTTTGTTTTACCCTCAGGCTTTTCAATTCAAATCTACAAATTATATATATTTATGGATCAATGAGATTATTAGGGAACATTTATAATAGTATTTATACCAAGATAATAAATGGTGACATACTTTTGTTATAGAGATGTTTTTAGTTTTATTTTAACCTTATATTTACATATCACATCATATTTAGCATATTAACTCCTCAGGCCCGGTGTCGGTATGGCGTATCGACCTATGTGTCACGATACTTCTTCACTGTTTTGCGCTCTGTTTACGTTTCAAAATTATTTAAGGTAAATAATTATTTATTTATAGAGTACCATACAAAATAACCGCTCACGCCACGTCGCAACGCAAAATTGTTACCAGCCGCTGAGAGCAGAAAGTAGAAATTTGCCGTACCTGAAGGGTTAAACTCTAATAATATGTAAGGAAGAATGGGATTAATAAAAAAAAAAGTATGGTTAAATGTATTCGAAATGACATTAATTAAATGAATAGTTTACAATTGAATTTTGCTTAGTTTGTTTAGTGACTGGCTAATTGTTGGTTTGTTTTTCTTGTTTTGCAGTACATTTCCGCTTACTGCAAGAAAACGGTGTCTCTGTTTAAGGTTCTTTGCTCGAACATGTTCTGAAGCAACTTCTTTTGTATAATTACCAGGAAACCAGCCCTGTTCACTATTTAATAATTTTTCACCATGATACCAACCATCTGACATTTTCCTAAATACGTTTATAACATCCCCTAAAAATATCCGTTTGCGTTATTTAATAACGGTAGTTAGGCAAAAAATGACAAGAATATCGAGATTTGAGAATTGTTTGAGGAAAAATATCGTTTACCTGGATACAATGATAGTTCGTCCGGTTGGTTTGGAGAATAGCAATATAAAGCTACTACTTGAGGACAGTCCCATACCTCGTAAAGAGTTTCTTCTATCAAGCTTCGTTCCGAGGGTGACACTGCTTCCAACCATCTTTGTCTTTCTGTATCACTTTCGCATGTTAAAATGTATTCAACCTGGTGTCCGGAATAATTTTCTAAAAGAGTCAACAGCATCGCGTTGCGTCCAGCAAACTGTGAATCTTCGAGAACTGGCTCTAAAGCGATTAGACTTCTTTTACAAGTATCTATTACGGTATAGGTTTCGTCGTGAGTACTGTGGCATATAGAAGAAAAACGCACGTTATACGAAACAATAATACCTATTTTATAGAATAGGAAGAAGAAAGTCGTGCTGCATCGAGTACTCATACTTAGATTTATATTTTGCAACTAGAAGATAATCCGTGAGCAATAATAGATAGAGAGGCGTTTTATTAAATTTTCTTCCAAAGGTACGCTTGTATTCCGCGTCGGTTTTTGTCGACAATTGTACGACCGGACCACTTTTAACCAAGTGTTTCCCTTTTAATAGAATCGGTTTAATTTTTACGGAATATTCCAGTTTTCTGTTCAAACAGAATTTTTCGCTTTTTCAATATAGGCGTAGTAAGAAGGTGGGTGGGTGGGAGAAGTTGATGGTAAAGTTACAAGTGACAAAGCAGTTATTATGCGAAAAACTTGGTGATAATTGAGCTGAACCGTGAACATTACCTAGCTAAGTTTTCCATTTCGATTTCTTTTGCAGCAGCTCGAGCACCCTCGTTGCATTCAGCAACAACGTGACTGAACCTCGACAAAACTCGTTCCCACTGAGATTTATCAGCATGTTCGATTGGTAATTTAGAGAGAACGGCATCAGCCAATAAAGGAAGCCTGCCACCAAATGAATAAACTTTCACGTTCGTTCGATTTGAACTTTGAAACAAGACTCTTTTATCTCACCTCGTTATTCGTTGCATCGGTAACATCAAAAACGAATGCAAAGTCAAGGATTGACAAGTTGGACGCGCTTCTATTTGTGAGACTGTTTCTGCAAATTTCAGGCCTCTTCGCGTTCTGTAGAAATTGATCGTTGGTCGTTATATCTATGCGGTGAATCAACATTCGAGGGAAACAGTGGCTTGCATATGTATACTCACTGTAAGTCTTTCAGAGTTGTATCTGTGCTAACTTGATTAGAACAGTATGCAACGTAGATATCTAAAGATTTGTCGGCATATTTGAGCAATACGTCTGGCAAAGCGTATAACATAGGATCCTGTCTCCATACGGTTTCTAATTCGGCCAGAAATTGCTCCGAGGCTCGTAACACGCTAGGAATATCGCCGAACAATTTATCTTTTTCGCTCGGAGGTAAGATTTCATTGATCAGGGGTTCATTGAAGAATTCATTTCTTAAGACACGAAGAGAATTCAAGTACGATACTTCTGAGGTCAGAATTTCAAACTTTGCTTCCTGAATCTTTTTCTCTTCTGTGTTTAATCGTTCTGGCGAGTAGAGAATAAAACATGAGAGAGCGCGTTTCATAGATTTCGGATAAAGCATTTAAGGTATTTGTATTTAGAAGAGCGATAATGTTTGCTTACGTAAAAGGCCGTTATTTATAACTTGGGGTGTCTGGCACCATAGCGTCTTGTATCCTGGTTTCGCCAGATCTGTGGTACCTGGGGAAGGGATCATGCCTTTGACCTGTTATTGAAAATTATAAAGTATTGATTCTCTATGATATTTGTATACATAGATATGTATACAGAATTCCCATTTTAATCTCTCCAGGCAAATATCTCAAAAGATATGAAAAATATGAAAAAATGTTTCAAATGAAAGTTATATGATATCAAGGGGGACAAATTGTACTGTCATTTATTTGACCTTATGATGATATTGAAAAGATTTGCAGAGGTCAACTTCGAATTTTTAAATTGAAACCTATATTTTTAACTGTACCTTTTATTAGCTGGCATCGGAGCCTTTTCAAAACATTACCTAAACATATTTTTTGCACAAGCCGTTCCCAACATATGAATCCTTAAAGTTGACATGCCGGCGGCATTAGCGTTATCGCGAGGAGGTTGCACGATCGGACTTCGTACATCATGTTGGCTCTAAAAAGAGACGCGCGCGCGCGTGTGTGTTGTGTGTCACAGCATTGTACGGATACTATCCCAGTAAATGTTCAAATTCTCTGCCATTTACTTCAATGCATAAGTTTATCCGCCTTCGAAAGATTCTTCTACATACTTTCTGCAATGTTATTGCCGATTTTGAGACCTTTCAAGAATTTTACATTTCATATCTGCGAGCGTCTAAATGTAAAGATACCTCCACTTACTGCTAATCAATCACTCATATTCATAATTTCTTCTGGAAAATAGTCGGACATTGTACAATTAATAGCAAATACAATAATTGGAGATCAACAATAATAACATTTTACTTAGCTTTCACAATTCGTACGACTAATAGCTCGAAACAGAATGTAAAGAATGCAAACACAAAGATGTTTGCACACAAGTGTTTACGGGTAACACTAATGCCGGTAGCATGTCAACTTTGAGGATTCATATCTCGGGAACGGTTTGCAAACAATATGTTTAGCTAGTGTTGTGAAAACGCTCTGATGCCAGCTACAAGAACATGTAGTTAAAAATATAGGTTCCAATTTAAAGATTCGAAGTTAACTTCTGCAAAACTTTTCAATGTCATTACAAGGTCAAATAAATGACAGTACAGTCCCCCTTGATATCATGTAACTTTCATTTGAAACATTTTTTCATATCTTTCGAGATATTTGCCTGGGAAAATTAAAATGGGATACCCTGTATGTATACATACATTACCTCATAGCAACCATCGGAAATGGAGTCGTACGCACTTCTAGCAGCAGCCGCTGCGTAAAATTGATACAGAGGCTCCTGTTCAGCGAGTACACTGTAGTGATCTAGAGTTAAGTGAAAGGAAATTAAGGAAAGAAATGAAATGCAAGAGCTTTGATGAACTTACCCAATTCGTCGCGGCAACTTTTTGTGGTGGAGTCATGAGTGGTAGTGTCGTTTGTGGTGTAACCGTTTAAGTAAAAAGTTGATAAAGGCCCCGAAACGCTTTTTCTAAAATGCCTGGTGAGATTAAAATATTTTCCGCTATCTAAATTCGAGTGATCGTTGGAGACATATTTGTTCTCCTCGTAGGAATGACCATCGTGAACCGAGCTACTTCTTCGCATGCGACCCAGATTGCCTTTAGTGATGGTCCACGTTCTTCGGAACATCTTGATTCTTTTGCCAAGGGTACGAGTCAAGCTAAGTTCGCGCGGTGGAGGAGGATTTGGCTTGGTGGGCGCTTCGAAATACGTGCTCACCGTGGATGGATTCGGAATCTTTTGCTCCATTCTTCTGATCGTTTCAGTTTCCGAATCCGAGCTGAAGTCATCCGGCTGGAAGGAACGGAGACTCTCGTACGTGGTGTCGACGGATGTGTCATCTGTAAAACGTTAACAGCTAAGTCAACGGGGAAATCGAAGTAAAACGAGATCGTCACGACGCCGCTTACGATCTTCCAAGTTCTCTATTCTTCAAAATATTATAATAGTAGGATATAATAGTAGGAAATGAGTTTTCGCTTGGATACGACTTTGAAGATAGAGATAAATCACAGCTGTTATTTATTAGAGACATCTTTTCTGATCTGGTTGATTCATCAGTAGACACACAAACACACACTCACGCGCGCGCGCAATGTTATCATGAAATGGAGAGATTCGTTTCATCGAAGGTATAACATAATTGAGTAGAACGGTAGGAACAATTGGAAATTTTAATCAACGGAACTCCTTAAAATCTTGCAAGAACCTTCGTGAACGTAGCACGACGTTTCCTGCATGTCCACGTCCTCGTCCAGGTCGATAACCCTCATCTGAACGAGACCCTGCGTTCTCTGCGAATTTCCTTGCAACGTTCGATCCTCTTCGTTTTTCCATTCTTCGATTTTCTCTGTACAGCCAACGAGCAATACCGATCCGCTGCCAAGGCTTACAGCCACTTAAAATCATCATCGTTCACAATCAGCCGTTACTATGTATTGACTAACAGGGTGTTACATTTAAACGGGAACGGTGGAATATCTCATGAGGAATGGAAGATATGAAAATAATGTTCGTACAAAAGTTGTTTGGTATAAAGGGGTACATTATGTGGTATAAATTATTTTTCTGTAGGTGCAGTAGTGGGGGAGATATCAAAGTCAGTTTTTTTTTTAAATGGAACCCTGTACTTTTGTATTCATAATATGGTAGCGTTTATTGAGACGAATTAAACGATGTGTCACACAAAGTCATTTCGTTTTATGAAAAATCGTAAAGTAGTGAAGACTCTAGTAGCCAGGTCAATATGTGTTGCACGCTTTCGGCTAGCAAAATTTTACTTGACTGTGCTACTAATACAAATTCACCACAATTTTAAAATTTTCCATAAAATGAAATGACTTAATGAGGCATTTCGTTGAATTCGACTGAACAAACGCTATAATATTAAGAATAGAAAAATATAGTGTTATACTACTACACCTACAGAAAAATTATTTAGATCACCTAATGTCCCCCTATACACAGAACAACTTTTGTGAGAATATTCTTTTTATAACTTCAATCCCTCGTGAGATACTCCACTGTTCTCGTTTAAATGTAACATCCTGTAAGTAAGTACGTATTTACTATGTTGTTCTTTTTGCCGTTGACGCAAACGGGTATATGAATGTATACGGTGTATGTGCGTGCATACGCGCTGTCCGCCGACATTTGTCCAAGCTATACACATATTTCGAAGGTTAGCCAGAAGATCGAGGGATCTAACAAGAATAAGAAGAGAAAGAGGCGGGTGGAAGCCATGGTGCATCCTAAGAACGAGCAAGGTGAAATTACTGCGGTTGTGTGAGTCGCGTAATCTTCTTTTTACTTTCATTTCCAAAGAAAGATCATTTCATTCACTATTCTACGCTCGTTAAAATACGCAGAACTTTACTTTTTCGTGCGTACCCATTCAAACGAACGAACATACACAATAGCGCCAAAGAAAGCACGTTTGTGTCATTCTCTTGGACAAATCTCAATGGTTGCAACTGGTTATTGTAGTGTGGTAGATATGTATACAGGTGTGTAATACAAAGTGTAGGAAATTTACCTTGTGTATTCGGTCGTCGGAAATTTTTCAAGGTCTGTTTCATTTCCACAACATGTCGACCCGTAACGGACGAGTCTCGCTGCTTAATAAAAACACTAATATGACGAAATCAAGTTAAAATTGATTGAAACTTGGAGACAAGTGGAGCAGAGATCGGACAGTAGAAAAACGTTTGTATCGTTGCGTTGAACGAAAGATCATATACCTACGATGGATCTACCCGATACAACGCTACGAGCGGCTCGACCGTGACTGACACTGAGAGAGCGCAATACGCGCTTTCACCTCGCGGCGATCTCTGTTCAAGTCCGGTTTCCAGTCTGAACTCGTCGATAAAATATTTTCACGCGCTTCGAATCATCGCCTACTCTCTCTCTCTCTCTCTCTCTCTCTCTCTCTCTCCCTCCCCCTACACACACACACACACACACACACACGTGCGCGTATCATCATTTCTCGATCTCCGTAATCATTTAGGAATTTCAAGAAAACGTTTTATTCGTTATAGGGAACAGTCTCCTCCGATTGGGAAGACATCGGGACGAAGTGTATAAAGTCGTGACAGACGGGTGACAAGCAGGTAACTTTTACTTGAGACAGAGTAGACAATCGCTTCGGCGATACTGCAATACAACTTGTGTTCCATAACGTTGATCCCGAGAAGAGCAGAGTTTTTTTCTTATTCAGCGAAATCGCCCGTTAGCCTATTTCTTTTGCTTTTAATCTCGCAGCAAGTTCGCTCACGTAGTAGAAGGAGTGGAAGTTGGAATTGATGGAGAGTAGCTGCTTCGTTGGTGTATCACGCAATCTTATACGACCTTGAGACTCGTGATTCGTTTGACGGTACGAATCACGTCGCGAATCAATTATTCCGCCTACTTTATGCCCTAGTAAAGCGTGAATTGACGTGAAAATATTGCGGAAAATGTTCGTTTGAAGGTGTTTACGATGCTTTTTTAGAAAAAAAAAGTGTGCTTAAATTTGCGAGTTCGAGTTCCGGAACGTGGTCGACGCATGACGCGACCCCTCCTTCTGATATATGAATTTGTAATGATAGAGAAACGCTGCTGTTCCCGCACTGCAATGCTATAATATCGAGAATTTCGTTTCGCTGACAATTTTCACCATCTTTTTTCATTCGTGGTGTGAAATTGTGAAAATTGAAACTCGGAATCGTGCCGTCTGACGATCGAATCGTTTGCTGGTGAAATAAATGCCGGTTTCAGTTTCTGTTGTAGAAGCTAGAAGTGCTCACAACTCGTAAAATAACGTTTCTCTACACTCTGCACTTTTCCAGTGTAGATTTGTTACTTGTGTTATTCTTCTATAA